TAAACACTTTTTCGGCTTAATTTCAGTTCGCAGCATTACTAAAAAAATTATTTTATTTATCTATTCATCTAACGGCACAACTGAATTGTGACCCACAAATGACTTTTGTTACGCTAAATTAGATTTAGCTTGAATGAACTTCCTGCAAATGCTTTGAGCTGGCAGCGTCGTGGTTGGGCTTTGTCTGTGTTTTGACTTTAACACTCCATTGAGCTGCATTATATCCATTACTAATGTGTTGCACTCGACTTCTATTACATCAATTGGTAATTGAGGTTTAATGTCATAATTCTATAGCCAAGTTGATTTATGGCTGATAAGTCTGCGAGTGAGATTCGCTTGACACATTTGATTGAGAAAATTGTATATTTTACATAACGGTTACTTCAAGCGTTAAGTGCCGGATTAAAAGAAACGTTTTTTTAGTCTGTTTTAAAAATTTGTGAGCATTAACGTCAGCAATAAACCTCTTAAATACATCTTATGTACATAAGTATGTATGTTGTATGTTCATACGTACCTTTACACCTACTCCAGTTCGAGTTCGTTTCTTAAGTCTTTCGTTTCTCATTCGAAATTAAATGCGATCCGTCAATATCGTTTTTTCTCTAATTCCAGCAAATTAACGTTGAAAACACGTGAACGTACTACCGAACTGCTAGAGACCTCTACTGAAACCAAAAGTTTACGTCAGCAAATTGCTGCACTGAAAATCAGTCGAGACGAGGCCATCGCGGAAAATGGGTAAGTTTAATGCGCTACTAGCACTAATAACGAATTTTTATCCGCCTACTGTTTAAAGTTAAATGCACACAACTATGACTTGAGCGTATATGTACATACATACATATGTATGTAATTATGTGCATACGTTAATTTTTTATCATTTTTATAGGCTAGTAACCATCAAAAAATTAGGCATCATTCAGTGTTTTATATGTATGTACAATATGTAGTGCGCCAAATAGTTTAGTTATACAATAGGATGTAGAAGGTCATAGTTGCCGCATATGTATGTTTCTTCACTGGCTTGTTTTTTTTTTAGTAAATTTACTTACATATGTATGTATATATATTGCACTATTGCGTTGGTGTGTGAATTTGATTGCATGTAGCAATAGTTAATTGCTTGGTGTTTATTATTGACGGACAAGTACTTTGTTATGTGTGATATGATTTTTCTTCTTTCTTGTTGTGTGCCATTTTAGCCGACTATCAAACGAACTGGCCGAACGGCAGGCAGAGATTTTGACACTCAAGAGGAAACTGAAAGATTCCGACTTTGAAATCGAACAATTAAAACAACAACTGCATCAATATGTGGCGGAGGTAAAAAAGGCTGAGGATTTGCTGTCACGTAAGGTATGTAAATCACTTGTTAAAGTTTAAGTTCTCGCAATTCCTATTTGAAGTGCAAACCGGTTTTGGTATACATACATACATATGTGCATAATGAGTGTTTTAAGCGGATTATAAACTAACCTGGTAAAGAAAGGCTACTTATATTATTAAATTGATGGATAGTCGCAGAAGAGAGAGCGTTGGGGGTACAGGAACTTGATACATAAATAAATTGTTCATCGCTTCACTATAAGTTGAGATTGTATTAAAAAAAAAACTTACAAATAAATATTTTAAAATCATCAAATAGGATAGTCGGAGAGCATCTGCATCTGATCGGATAATAATTCTTGCTTCATTCCCTTATATTTAGTCAATTAAATTAAGAATTTTAATTTTTGGTAGTAAAGGAAAACGTTTTTTTTTACCTTTAAGTGGTTTCAGGCAGAGCGACTTTCGTGCGACTGGCGCACGCTGATTTGACAACGACAACAGATATTGATTTCTTTTGAGTGCGGTCTCACAAAGACACAGGTATAAACGCATGAAAGAAATATGTGTTGAGTCAAATTGGGCTTTTGTTAATTGGGTTCTTGCGTTGGTATATACAAGGAGCAGCGAATACAAATAAAGTGGCTTCACTATTTCGCTAACGTTCTTCGAATTGGACACAAATACCCCAGTCAAGAAAGTATTCAACGTTGATCCCGCTGATGTGAGAGACGACCGACGATGAGCGGTTCCAGCGCTGAACAAGAAAAAGAATCCAATCGACTTCAATGTTTTGGGTTGTGTTCTCTTGAAGAACGCAATCCTGGCTTCCTGACCCAAACACTTACATGCATATGTATGTATATCGGGTTCATGAAGTTTCTATTAATTTTGTCTTGAAAGTGCTGCATTCTTTTCAGTATAGCAACATACTTCTTTCGAATGTAATCAGATCAATATGGCTAGTCCGACTGTTTTTTTTTTTATTAACGAAATATAGTTCAGAAGTAGCAATAATAGATGTGTGAAAAACCGTTGTCCATCCAAAATGAAAATATTTTTTAGAAAACCCATTTCGAAAAATAAGTTTTATTTTTGTATATATATCACCTTTTTAGGAAAAGGAACGCGAGGAAATGCTGGAACATTATCGTAGTCTTTCACATGACGCCGTCGTATTGGAGGGCAACAATCAAAGTCTAGAAGTCGAAGCTGCCGAACAAAAGTAATTGCTATGATAAAACGCTAAACTTTATTGCCCATTATAGATTACTAGCTTAGCAAAAAATTAATTGACTATAATAACACTGAATTTCTACTTCCTCTTCTTCTACTCTTTTTATTTTTATTTAATGTATATATGTACGTGCTTGACTTTCGTAGATGTTGTTGTTGCTGCGCAAGGCATATACGCTAAATACTTTCTCTCTGTAACATTTTGAGCTACCAAAAACAATTGTTTACATACCTCTTTTTAGCAGTATGTAGTTATTTTTATCTTGATTTACACACCCGTATACACAAGAATTTAATGTAGAAGCTCCATGGTTAACGTAACGAAAACAATGGGCAAAGAATTTACAGCTATTAACCTCGTTTTCATTTAAGACGCCAAATTACTGAATTAGAAGATGAAATAAATGCGCTGAAGAAGGAAATTTGCTGCCGCAATAGACATATCGAACAATTGGAGGATAAGGTATGTATTTAAAGACAACACGACATGCGCACATAAAATTGTTGATAAACATTTTCGAATTCTTTCAGTTAGCTGCAGTAACTGCACAAAATGCCAAACTTGAACGCCAACTCGAGGAAGCTCTCGATGAGCAACGCTTACTGAAGGTTGATTTGGCTGCACGTAAAGAGCTTTGCGACAAGCTGGACATTGAAAAAGACAAGTTAAATGCTGAGCTGACAGAGTTAAATGAGATAAAGCGCAAAGTATGGGAAAGAAAATATCCAAATTAAATTGATTTCCTTTTTAAAAATTTACTTAATTTCTTCAGCTTGAACGTGACAATGAAAAATTGCGCATGGACATAGAGAAAACAAGCAGCGGCCAGAAGGTTTCCTCTGAAACGCTTGAGGAGTTGCTCAGTAAAACGCGGCGCGATCTTGAAGAACAAATTAAAGTCGATAGTAAATTGAGTCTAGAATTGGTGCATTTGCGGCAGCAAAATGATGATTTGTTGGTAAGTTTAAGTAGTACTTACGCGCTTTGACAGCCCGACTAACTTTTATATATTTTTCAACATTTTCAACGCACAGCGCGAGCTTGACACCGAACGCGAACGTCGCCACCAGCAGGAAACACTGACGCACGAATATCAAATACAAAATCAGGAACTGCGTCACAATCTCACCGACGATCGCTTCCGTCAAGCGCGTTCACGTGATCAGAGTCCACGATATCCTTCGCAGACGCTTTAAGATTCCTTACAGCAAAGCAGCTAGCTTTGAAATACATACATAGGCATTTAAATGCATTTTGTTCCAGTTTTTACTTTTAAATAATTTTTATAAAATGGTCTTGCGTTTTTCTTTTTTCTTTTTATAGCACAAAAAATAAAGTGAACAAGCACAAAAGCTGAGCAAGCTTTTACAACATTTGATAAATATTTTAGCAACGAAATATACACTCTGGCATAAATTATTTATATAAGCGCAGAAAAAATCTTTAAAATTTCGACACAATAATATACGACGATTAGTAGCTATCAGTCTATAATTCAGCATCTTCAATCACGGAATCACTATCACTTATTTGTGTCCGATATTCCGGATAGTAAAGTGCTATCATGTTTAGATATGTTTTGAACATGCAAGGGCAGCCTGTGAATTCCGGTATCCCCTGGTACTCTCGGCAGTCTTCGAATTCAGAACGACCTGTGAAATATTAAATTGTGAAATATATAAATAAAACGGGCACTCCAAATAAACAGGTAAGAAGGTCTTAAGTTATAAAAAAATTTTATAATTTCTATGAAGTTAATTTTAAAGGCCGTTAACTTAGCATTTTCATAGTATAATAAATCATTAGTTAAACTTAACTACAAAAAATTCCATAGAAATTTATGTGGTTAAGTTCAACTAATGATTTAACTGTACTTTAAAATAGATAAGTTAACGGCTCTAAGTTTATATAAAAACTTATAAGGAAAAATGCTCTTAGCCTACTTTGAAGAATCCATAAATCAAAAAGTCTTGTTGATTACTAAAAGTTTCTTCAAATAATGATTTCAAACCTGTTATCATCGAAGTTATCCAAAAGATAGTTGATACCTGGGAACTGGATAGCTCGAAGTCTACCCTGCTATTACATTATATAAGAGATCTTTTTCCGTAACTAGTAGTTGGTCCTATAACGTGGAATGAAATGGGGCGCAATTTCAACATCAAACTCGCTGTTGATAGAGAGAGAGCAGCAGCGACAACATCGCGGCCATGCGATTGTGAGTTTTCGTTAATATGAAAATCCCATAAGATAGGTCGTGTCAGCTGACACGGTCTACGATTTTACGTCGATAGCTGATTGAACTTTTGGAGCGCATCAGCTGACACGATCTCTATCTCTTTATCAACAGCGAATTGGCTACGTTTATACGCACCTCTTACAAAAAAAAAAAAATGGTGTAAATTTCTTCCACGGGTCTCTCAGTGTGTCTAAACAAATACATACGTGTGTAACTCTTCTTGGACAATAGCACAACTTCCTAATTAACAAAAACTACTGCTCGTATCAAATTATATTTGCACTATAAAAAAAAATCTGATTTTTAATGCTTTTTAAAATAACTCGGCCCTAGCGCTATCTACCAGGTTAATCGTTATAAAAAAAATTTGTTTCGATATATGTAGCTCACGCGCATACCTGTGCATATACATACAGTTGTGTTCAAAAAAATAGTAGTGCGACGGCGCAGAATGATAAAAGCTACTTTTTGACATGTTCTGCTTTACAACTTGAGGAATTTCCCTATATTTTCCTCCAAAAACCAGCTGTTCAAAAAAATAGTAGTGCTTAACTTGAGAAGCTCTTACATTTTAGGGGGGGAAAAATGTCCCCACAATTAGATGTTTTTAAGTTATTAGACTTGTTTCAATGTAAAATTACTAAAAATACGTAGATAAGGAAATCAAGACAAAATGTACAAAAAAAAAACTCAAATGTATGAGGTATGAATACAACGTTCAAAAGGGTTTAATGAATTAGTCCACTTAAGGTTATCGCGTCTTAGTATTAACTAATAACTTCAAATTGGATATGTCTGCTTACCAGATTGTTTAAAAAAAAACGCCATTTCTAAAAAAAATCGCCAAAAATAGCCAATTATTATTTTTAATAAAATTCTTGAAATCGATGTAACAAATCTTTTATTTTAAAAATGAGATCTTGCTATAATATAGTTTTTAAAACCAAAAACGAAAATAATACCTTCAGAGGGTAATAATAAATAACACAAATCACTTATATAATAGTGATAAACAAACAATTTTCTTTAAAAATATGCATACTTTTTAAAAATATTTGTTTCAACAGATTTTGCAATATGACTGCGTAATTATTAAATTTATTATAACTCATATTAGTTGATTAATCGCACAATCCGCTTTTGAGAGCTCGTCGCTAGAAAGGAAGTAAAAACCTATAATAAGGCGAGATCAGCTATTTCCACAATTTCTTCAAAATCACCTATAGTGTCTGAATGATATACATTTCTGTTGTTGTAATATATTGAGCTATTCAACCTTGATAACATACTGTTTGATATTGGAAACGTTTTGCAGCGGAAACTATTAGCCTTCATATAACACTTCATTCGAACTATTAAGGCCATTAAGGCTTTCCAACCTCATCCTATTTCGAATCTTAGTTTTTGTTGAGTTCATTACGGGAAAAACGCGCTCAACAAAGCATGTGAGTGCGACAAGGATAATAATATGAATTTACTTATATTTCCAAACATTTTATTGCCTGTTGCGGTTTTCACTCCGTAAGTAATTATCCAATATTCTTCAGAGTCGGATGGAATGGTTCGGAGAAAAGCTATTCCATGCGAAAGTTAAAAGATTTAAATATTCAGTTTCCGCTGCTTTTCTTTCTTTCAAAGTCAAATAGTGAATTGGCAGGTCCCTGAAACTCGCCCTCTTGTGATTCACACACTTTTCTGGTGACAAAATCAAAGCTTCTTTAAAAGTTTTGAATTGACTAGGTAGTCGTTTCAAAAGTTCTTCGATTAGGGCGATTAAACGTTTTTGACAGTCTTTTAATATGCTTTTTAAGCCAAGTTTATTACGCAGTTCATTAGCCCGTAGAATTATCGAGGAAAACTAAGTTTTGTATATTTTTATAAATTGGCGCGAAATCGCCAAATCTGGACACTCTGCTTCTTACAGTCCCTATGATCAACGTGAATTATGGATAAACACATGTGCTACATGAATGTTGGAAAATAACAACAAAAAATGCGCTTAATAGATTAACGACGCAATAAATACCAGTTAACTACGCAAAAAGTTATTTGCGTCCAAAAATGATCGGTATAAGGCAAAGAGGAATTCCATATGGGGGCCCTAAAAGGAAAGAAAGTCTGCGAGGAAAGGTTAAAACAATCATGGCAGCTACAAATCTATTAACAAAAACAATGATCTAACAAGTTCTGAAAGAGAAATGGGCTAAAATCAGTATTAGACGCTATCAGGACCTTAGCCGCCCTCTGAAACAACAAAATTTATCAAAATTAGACTAAAAAAGGTTTTAAATAAAAGATATCAGACACAAATAAACAAATAAACAAAAAAAGTACAAAACATTAGCTATATGTCTACTTTTAACTTCGTTAAGGTAGCCACCATGGTGGAATAATACAAGGTGTTGGATATTGACAGCGTTCTCGCTCTAATCCGCCATCTTGGCTCCCTTAGCTATATCAGTGTTTCCCTCTTGAAAAAACTACATTTTATCGCCTTTAAAAAAGTACTAAACTACCTCATTCCCTATTCCAAAACCGATTTGCAATCACTGAACAATTCTTTGACATTTACTCTATTCTTATCGTTGGCAACTGAAAATTAAATTAGAAATTTCAACATTAATTCGGCAAAAAAACATCGGTTTAGAGTTCTCCCCAAGGATTTGTAGTTATTTTGGTCGGTGCTTCCTTCCGCTGCAATTCCGTCTGTGGTTCACTGCCACTGGCCTTGCTTTTTCAACGATATAACTGTTTTCTTGGTAAGTTTAGATTTAAACAAGAACTACGTATTTAACTATGCATCTATTCCCCAGTGATTTTTGCTGCTGCAATCCCGTCTGTGGTTCACTGCCTCTGGCCCTGCTTTTCCAACGATATAACTGTTTTTTTGGTAACTTCTACCGCTAAGACTTTGTTGCTTTTTCCCTTTTCCCTAAAAACATAATAGTGCTACAAAGCTCAATAACAATATGGAAACAAATGTTAATAAGCCACAATAATATTTACAATAAATAAGATTTCACTACGATTGAATTTTCTATTAGTAACAGGGTAGTTATAGTGAATGTTTTATTCGATAACTAAAACTATATTTGATGTTTGTAGCGATAAAAATATGCCTAAATCAGCCAAATACCCTATGTGGGTCGGCTGAATCAGTAAAACGTGACAGTAGTTGACTTTTGAGGTTAATATATCGGTCTTGAGTTGGTAAGGTTTTTAAAAAATCCGCAGCTTCCTTTAAAGCATCGCTGCTAATTGCTGAGAAAACCAGATTGTATTTACCGACATAAGATGTGGTCTTGTACGACTGAAAGGTGGCCTCAATTTGTAGAAACCATTTGTCTGTCATCTCAGTTCAGAACGGTCGCAGCTTGCATTGCGATGCAAGCTCCACATCTTTAGTTGGCATTTTGTTCGATGAAATATTCTCCCCATCCGTCGATTCGCCCTTTTGTCGATTCCGTCATGTTGTAACGACTCGGGGTCACCACTAATTTTTTGGTTTTGGAAGTTTGACTATAATTATAGGACATTGTGTTTAATAAACTAAATTACCATTTATTGCATAAGTACTACGTTATATATACTACTTTCGCGAATTTAGCTTATCATAATATACCGTTTGTAACTATTTATATGCAACATTTTATATGAAAAATAGTACCAAATTTCGAACTACTTCGCAAAGCGGGCTTTTTTTCTTCCCGTTTCTCTCGTGCTTCCATATTACAACCTTTTGTAAGGGAGCTGTCGACATGAGCTGTCACTACGTACAACACCTTGTATAATTCCACCATGGGTAGCCACTACTATTATTTTGAACAGCACTATTGTTTGGTTTAAGCCCTAGTATATAAAAATAATAATTAATATATGAAACATTAAATATTCTGGCCGCTGTGGTGTAGCGGTAAACAGTGCGCGCTTCCACTCCGCAGGTCTTGAGTTCAAGCCCTTGCCAAAGCAACGTTGCAAAAAATATTACATACAGCGGTCGCCGTTGGCAGGCAATGGCAAACCTCCGAGTGTATTTCTGCCATGAAAAACTGCTTCTCAGAAAAATACAATCGCCGTTCGGAGTTGGCGTAAAACTGTGGCTCCCTCCCCTTTTTGTGACAACATAAAGGCGCA